TCATAGTTACCTGTACATGTGACTTATCCTTCATACTAATCTATAAACTGCATAAGTATTGGAACTATTTTATCAAAGTTCCTTGCAGAGTGCTCTGCACACAGTAGATACTTAATAAATGTTTTTTTAAAATTGAATTGAATATACATTTTGGAAAGAGTCTAGTATGTTGGCATAGAATTGTAGTCATAGCTCTGCCAGTGACTTGTTCTGTGCCTTTGGACAAAGCACTTAAATCTCTCAGTTTCTTCTTCTATAAAATGGGGGTGATAATACCATTCTATTTACTTTTCAGGATTCTTGTGAAGATCAAATGAGATAATGTCTGTAAAAACACAAGGAAGAAGTGTAAAATCCTATGCAAATGTATGGAGGTATTAATATTGTATAAGGAGTTTTCAGCATCAGTGAAAAGCTTTTTATGGGAAAACATCTTTTTCTTTAATCCACTGAGAGACATTTTTCATAATTTTACAGTGTATATGAAATAAATTAGTAGTCTTATTCAAGATCTTTGTAATTCAAATCATAATAGTTAGTCTCTTGGCTGAGACTTATTTATCAATGAGAACAGAGGACCTGATGTTGCAGTTGTCTCAAAAACTGAAAAAACAAATCTACTGTGAAGACCACCCCTTTCAAGCAAAGTTCAAGTACTGGCCATATCTACATCAGTTGGTGTGGGTTTGTTTTTTTGTTTGTTTGTTTTTTGTTCTTTTTTTAGTGCAAGATCAAGGACAATTTTAAAAATATTTCTTAGGGCACATTCTAAGACAAATTCCTGTAATTGATTTGTTTTTGAAGGATTGAGCTATTATGACTGCATAGAAATCACTATAAATACTTAGGGCTCCTGAAGTATCATCAGAGTTCCTGGACTCTAGTGACAAAGTCCTAATCCTTCATGGGGAATTTAGGGTCAACAATAGGAACTAGCCTGTGAGCCTGTGTGCATTTAGGGCGGCAGTTTAAGATGAACCCAAAACAAACGTTCATTTCACTGTGGCGTGGTATCATGGAGCCATTTTTAACAAAACAAACATCTAGAACTGAAATAAGCATTTCGGTTCATAGGTTAGTTTTATTTGGCAAAGTTCATGCGACCAGGGTATCAGGGAAATGTTGGTAATCCTTCTGTGAGGGTGGCAATTCAGAAAAGCTCAGATCGACACCTTTTGCAGGAAAGGCTTAGGCACTAAGTCATCAGCAGGAGCAACAGCATTTTTCTGTAGTTTTTTTCTTTTTTTTAGCTAACTAGAGAAAGCGCACCTATGTATGCATTGTTAGTGTGAAGTTTAATTAATATCCACATAAGCCATAGAACCTTAGAGCTAAAAGAAAGCCATCAGCAATAAGCATTTATTAAGCTCCTACTGTGTGCCCAACTGGGCTAAGTGCTGGACATGGTCTTGTCCAAAACCCTCATTTTATAGAGGAAGACACTGAGTTTTTTTTAAAAAGATATCGCTGCTTCATGGCAGACCTGGAACTAGATGCCATCTTGTCCAGTACTCTCTATTTCTTCATATATATATGTATGTGTGTATTGTACTCTCAGTCAATTAGCAAGCATTTGACATTAAGTATCCACTTTATGTCAGACACTGAGATACAGTGAGAAAAAAGACAGTGCATTTCCTGAAGGAGATTCGTTATTGGGGTAAATGTGTACACACATCAGGGAATGGGAAGGGCTAGAAGCTAAGGGGATCAGGAAAGAAACCTTTTGTAGGAAGTCGCCCTTGGGTTTGCTTTTGAAAGTCACCAGAGGTTCCAAGAGGCAGAGGTGAAGAGGGAGTGAATTCCAGGCATGGGTAACAGCTTGTGTGCAAAGACACTGAGAGAGAAGATGGAATGTGATATGTGAGAAACCAGAAGAACTCCACGTTGGCTGTATTATGCAAAGCACAAAAGGGAATAATGGCTTTCACTGACAAATAATGACTGGAAGAAATAGGTAACCAGTGCTGTTTATTGAGTAGGGTTGTGACAAGGGCACTGCTCTGCTTTAGAAATGTCGTATTTGGCCCATGGGGCGGGGAAGGGCTCAGAGAAGGGGAGAACTTGGGAGAGACTGTTTCAATAGCCCAGGCAAGAGGTGATTAAGCTCTTAAAGGATCATGTGTTCCATTTCTTTTATAACCTTCATAATGGCTAATACAGTAGATGTTCAGTAAGTATTTAAGTGGTTTATTTGCTGCATTTTTTTCCAAATAGGAAAACCCTTTTATCCATCCATTTAATGGATGGCTGTTTATTTTCTAAAGCTAGTTTTAGAATGTAAATTACTAGGGCCAGAGATTTTATCATTTCTCTTGGTTTTTATAGTACCATATATGAGGCCATTTTGTAGTAGGTACTATTAATGATGTTGATTTGGTCATTGAGACACTTCAATTTATCCTGTTGGTTGGCCAACTAAGAGCCTACTGTGTGCCTAACACTGCTAGGTAGGTCTTCCAGAGAACATAAAATAGATACCATGGTCTCTATCCTCAACTAGCATACAATCTGAAAAAATAAGACGTACGTGCCCAACAAGACATAGTACAGTTAATTGCTGAATTGTGCACAACAAATGTAAGTGCTATAATGAACTCAGAGATGTATCATTGTGGGCTGGAATAATGGAAAGTCCTTAAAGAATGAGTCAGGTGTCAACGTATTACAGTGTGTTGGGTTTTTTTTTTTTAACCACACACCAAACATAAGCAACCTCTGCCTGATAGCATCACTATTGATGCTTGGGGGTGGATGGGAAAATGATACTAGGTGGTAGGGAGAAGGTGGAACCACTCAGCTTTTATTTGGCCTTGATTTTTCTCTTCCAAGGAGACTAGAAAGGGCAAAACAAAAATAGATGAATACCCTAATACTAATACTAATACTAATACAAATACGAATACTAATAAATAGATGAAACCCAAGTTAAGGAAGAATATAATAACAGGGTACCTAGATGCTCTTGAGCAATTCAAATCACTAGTCTCAAACAAACCACAATCCAGAGCATGAAAGGAATTGTAGGGTGTGTTTGCTGAGCCAGTTATCAAATTTCAATCCTTTGAAAAATTATAAGGAGCAGGATAGGTGCAGTGGAAAAGTGCAGACGGTAGGCCAGAGATTTTGACTTCGATACCCAGCAAAATTCTAGCAGGTATTATTAAAGGAATGGTAAGTGAGCATATAGAAAGGAAGCAATAACCCAAAAGAGTAAGTATGACTTCATCAAGAATATGTTATGTTATACTAACCTTATTTCTCATTTGGTAGACCTATTAAGTCAGGGGAATACTGTAGAAATAACTCACTTAGATTTTAGCTAAGAATTTCGAATAGTCCCTCATCCTATATGGGTAGAAAAAAATGGAGAGATGAGGGCAAGCTTAACAAGCATATATACACATTGATTTGGAGCTGGTTGAATAATCCCACCCGATAGCTCAACAGCAATCTAGAAAAAAGTCTCCAATGTCATGCACGTGTCCTTGGGACTTGACCTAGGCCATGTGTGTGCTATTTAGTATTTTCATCAAAGACTTCAGTAAGATCTTAGATGATGTCGGAGGCATGACTCTAATACCAGCTTCCTCTTAATTCAGGTTCCATGTTGGGACAAACTGAGGCACTCACAGGTCACTGATCATTTAACATAAAGAGGTTTCTTTTTCGTTAACACAGCAAGGATACCCGATGTCAACCAGACCGAACCAGCCTCTCACTTGTGGGTGTCCAGAGCCAAACAGAGCAGGCTAGAGACAAGAGAGTCAGGAATCAAATAGGAGTTTAATATCAAAGTGAGGTAAACAGCTTACAAGCTAGGAGAGGATTTACATACAGGTGCCAGAGCTCCATCCCTAGTGGGGGGGACCCAAGGCATTGGGGAGATCTCAAAACTTGTACCAGTGGTTGTGCAGTGAGCTGTAGCCCTGACAATGAGGGGTAACAGCAAAATGTGACAAGTATGATTCATAGTAGGGCGTCGTGACCAGAACATGTCTGAGCTCAGAGAACATCTGGTGCTGGTCAAAGTAATACAATAATTATGTGATTTTGCCAGATGAGATCATCCAGAGGGTGAGTGCAAAGGATTTTTGTTATGCCAAGCTCAGGGCACGTCCTGCTTCCTGGGCCTTACCGCTAGAAAACAGGGTGCAGTGGCACTTAACTTTTCTGGAAGTGATCCCCCTTGTCTCCCTCTGGATGGAAATGTGTCTGGTGAAAAGGACAGGGGAAAGTAACTTTTGTGGTCTTGGGCACCCACCAGTATGTCTGGGGCTTTTTTCTGCCCCTAGATGAACAGGAAACTGTGTGAGAGAAACCAAGGCCAATCAGGTCCCAGGGGCAGCTTTGCCTTCTTTAAGATAAAGGTTCTCTCTGTTGTGGGTGGGAAAAATGTGTGTCAGGGAGATGCTGGCCCTCTCATAAGATGCCATGCTTATCAAATAGGCTCGTAGCTCAAAACTCAAAGATCAAGAACACACCCAAAAAGATCCTCATAGGCTAGAACAGTGAGCCAAACTTGATGTGGCAAATTTAACAATAAATTTAAACACAGAGGATCACAGGTTTAGAGATGAAAGGGGCCTTAACTAAATCCAATCACCTCATTTTATATATGAGAAACTGAGAGTCTAAAAAGCTTAATTGACTTTTTAAAAATTAATAATTTTATTGAAAACGTTGAACGTTAATCAGTACAAGCATCTAAACTTTAGTAACTACCTACAGTTAATTTAATGAGTTGTTTCTGGTATTACTCATGAGCAGTTTTGCTTGTACAGGGCTAAAGAGAAGTAGGTCTGCCATGTAGAATGAAGGCTTAAAGTTCTAGATTGATTTTTGAAGTAGAGACATGTTTGACTTAACCTGACAATCTCAACAACACAAAACATACCTGAGAACCAAGAAAAAGTGAAAAAGTTTTCTGAATAGTTGTTTAGAAAATCCTGTGTATCCTGTGTATTTTACTTGTAGGAAAAGCCCCTCAGTTCTCATTTCAAATGTATTTTTTTTATTTTTAATATTTTTATTCTGAATGTAACACCAAATAAAACAGTTAATATACAGAGTAGAACAGAAAAAGATGGTATTTGAGACTGTGAGTCTATTATTCATAGTTTTTTTCTTATAAGTAGATAATAAACTTAACATGTCTTTTTCAAAGCTGTTGCTTCTCCTTGTTTCCCTCTAATCTACTTTGTGTTCTTTTCTGTGCATTTAAAAAAATGTTTCAATGTCCTTTTCATTTTCTTTTCTTTCTTCTCTAAGTAGCTCTTTTGATCACCTCCCCTTTCCTTTCCCTCACTCATCCTCAAATTGGAAAAAAAATTGTTACAAATATGCATAATAAAATAAATTCTCATGAAAATGCCTGCCTCATTTTGTACCTTGGGGCCATCACTTTTCTGAAGAGCAGGAGAATGCTTCATCATCCGTCTTCTGAAATCGGTGTTGGTCATTTCATTGATTAGAGTTCTTTCCAAGCTTTTCATTTAAAATGCCATTATTGTATAAGTATATGTTTTTCTTTTAATTGATCTTAATTATTTAACTACCTTAACTCCAGTTTCCTCATTTGTAAAAAAGGGAATAATTCTTCCGGCCTTTGCTACTTGCCTCTTAGTATTACTATGGGACCTTTTACTAATTCCCTTCAAGCTCTTGCCCCCCAAATTACCTTTCAGCCTTATATTCACTTTGTACATATTTTGTGTCTGTGTTATTTTTGCATATGCTTTCTTCTCCAATAGAACATAAGTTCTTTGAGGGAAGAGACTATTTCATTACTGTATAGCGGCTAGTACAGTGCCTGGGACATAGGAGTCAATAAATATTGATTGATGATCAAATAAGACAATGTGTAGTAATAAGAATGTTGGTGTTTCCTTCTATGAGACAAATAGTATCTTAATAACCAAACCAGGGAGATAAGTCAGAGAAAGAAAATTATAGCCCCCTATCTCTAATGAATGTTGATGCAAAAATATTAAATGAAGTATGAACTTAGAGGCTAATGTAGGATATTAAAAAGAATATATATCCTGACCAACTTTTATTTATACCAGGATCACAGGATTAGAGGTCAATATTAGGAAAACTATAAACATATAATAGACCATAGTAGTAACAAAAAAATTAAAGTTATGCAATTTTATCAACAGTTCAACAAACAAGCTTCATCATTTTTATATTAAAAATACCAGAAAGCAGAATAATAAGTGGTCCTTTCCTTAATAGGTTAAACAGTATCTTAAAACCAAGAGTTACTATTATCTGTAATTGGTAATCATTAGAGGCCTTTATAGTAAGATCAGGGATAGAACAATTTTTGTCCAGTGTCCCCATTAATATTTGTCAATGTTTCTAGAAAGTCTCTCTATAACAATACAAGAAAAATAAATTATGCAAATAAGTCCAGGCAAAGAAGCAGAATTGTTGCTTTTGCAGATTATTATGGTTTAGAAAACCCTAGAGATTCGAATAAAAATTAATGGAAATAATAACTTCAGTAACAAAGCAGAACATGAAATAAAGCCATAAATATTGTTAGCCTTTCTGTACATTATCAGTAAAACCTAGCAGAGAGGGGGGAGAAATCAATTGAAATTTACTACAGAATGTACAAAAAATCTGGGAATCCACTTGCTAAGACACACATGGGAATTATATTAATGCAATTACAAAACATTGTGGAAATAAAGGAAGATTTAATAACTGGAGAGGAATTAATTGCTTATGGCCGAAATGTCCTGATATAACTAAAATGATCCTATTACCTAAATTACAGATTTGGTAACATACCAAGCTGCCAAAAATTGCTTTATAGAACTAGACCAAACTATAACAGAATTAGTCTGGAAGAACAAAATTTCAAGAATCTCAAGGGACATAATGGGGGGAAAAGTGGGAAGGAAGGGGGTCTAGCAACACCAGATCTCAAACTATACTACAAAACTCTAAGCATAAATCATTTGGTACTTCTTGAAAAAGAGATAAGTTGATAAGTGGAACAGATTAGGTATAGATCCAGAAGCAATTAAACCGTAGCAGCATAGTATTTAATAAACTGAAGGACCCAAACTACTGAGATAAGTTTGACAAAAATAACTGGAAAATATGACTGCAATCTGGCAGAAATTAGGCTTAGATCAAAGCTCCCATGATATGCCACAATAAATTTCAAATAATTACATGACCTAGATGTACAAGTTCATAAAATAAGCAAATTTTTGGAGAATACAAAGAGATAGCTTTCATAACATGAATTTGAAAAAAAAACTTTTTGTATAAATAAACAGTGCAGTTAGACTTAGGAGGAAAGCAATTAACTTGGAAAAACTTTGCAGCGTAGTTCTCTGATAAACGTCTAATAGCCAAGATATGTAGGGCATTGATACAAATATACATGAACAAGAGTCATTCCCCAACAGATGAATAACCAAAGGATATGAATAAGCATTTCTCACAGGAAGAAATTCAAGCAGTCAATAACCATATGAAAAACTAATAACAGCAAATTAAAACAAATTATGTTCCCTTCCCTGCCCTTAACTTTGGTAAAAATGACAGAAAAGGAAAATGGCAGTTGTTGGAGAGGATATGAGAAGACAAACACACTAATGCACTGTTGCAAGGGCTTTCAAGTGGTCTACCTATTCTAAAAAGCAATTTGGGACTTTACCCAAACAGTCACCAAATTCTTCATACCTTTTAACCCAATGATACCACTACTAGGCATCTGCATCAAAGACATAGAAAAAGGATACAAATGTACCAAAAATATTTTTAATGGGTACAGAATTGGAAACCAAGTTAGTGACCATCAGTTGGGAAAAGGCTGAAGAAATTATGGCACATAAATGTAAGTGGTATGTTATCATCCAAGAGAAATCTGGGAGCACTTGTATGAACTAATGCAAAGTGAAGTGAATAGAACCAGGAGAACTATTTATAGAGTGTGACCATTCAAAACTCCCTAAGTCTGATGATGAAGCCTGCCTCTCTCTTGTTGTTTGCAGACTGAGATGTACATTTTCAGACATCGCCAATGCAACACAAGTTTGTTTTGCTTCGCTGACCAAGGCCTTTATTGGGGAGGGGAAGATGTAGTAAATGTGATTTTTAAAAATTAAAAGATATTAAAAAATAAAAGACTTTAATGAGACATTTTTCAAATACACAGAAGGGGGGGGGGGGGGGGGGGGGGGGGAATGTGTTCAGAAGGGGACCTAGATATAAGCAGGGCCCTGATGGTATACATGTTAAATTGAATATATGTTTTCTAGAATTGTACTGGATTCATGGTTTCACATATATTTGTATATAGGAAATGAATATATCTGAATATATAGAAATATATATGTAGAGAGTATAGAGTATTTATGGAAACAAACATAAATTTCATATATGAACCTGTTTTCTGATGTTTGTATATAGAAATGAATGTATTTGATTATTTTCTAGTTTATAATACTTATTTTTAAAAATAGTAATGATAATGTGATAGCTGACAATCAATGGGGGGATGGGGTCAGGGAGGAGGGAATAACCATATCAAAGCCAGCAGCCAGAATCTGCTCAGCATAGAGGCTTCGGCACAGTGTGATAATTCATCATGGTCCTAAATGATCCAACAAAAGATTATTTCAGAAAGAATCTGTGATTCTAAGGCAAGGAGATGTGTAATACAATTTAAAAAGGTTTCCATAAAAAATGGTTTAGATTGTTTTTAAGGATGTGCTTAAAGGAGTAAACTTCATTTATCTGGAAAATTCATTTAAGTGAAACGTCTGATTTCATTACAGAGCCAATGGATGAAGGGCTATTGTAATTGAGATGCCTGGTTGAAAAGTTAAGTCATTTCGGCTGTTGACTATGTGAATATAAAACCTCATTCATCCCCATAAATTTAGTAAAACAGAAAGTAGATGACGGGTAAAAATAGATAGCTTAAAGTAACATGTGTTCCGTACACTACACACACAAACCAGTTTCCCAGTTGGTTAGAGCATCAGTCAGTCTCTGTATCTAGGTACCACAGTGATGTGGCCCTAAGACTTAGGGGAATTAATGTTCCCTCTCCTCTTCCTTCAGGTGATAAAAGTTCTTTTTCTTAACCTTCCAGGTGGCAAATGGGAAGATCCAAAGCCTTGAAGCCACCATTGAGATTCTCATGGCCAACGAGAACAAACTGAAACAGACAGCTTTGGCTTTAGAACTGGAAAGATCAGCCCTTCTGCAGACGGTGGAGGAGCTACAGAAAAAAGCAGCTGAGCTGGGGAATGGAGATCCTAGTCTTGCCAAGCCAGAGCTCACAGAAGACAACTAATGGCCGGCTGCCCTTAGTGATTGGATGAGCTCCCCCCTAAAAAAGGGACAAGGGAAAAACTACCTAGTCAGCATCACCATGAGGGCTTTCGCACCATCTGCACGAATGTCCATGCCTTAGCCAAGTGAGACAGACAAGGGAATTGGATGTAGTAGAGAGAAACATGTTTCTCAGGGAGGAAACTCTTGCTTTTGTTATCATGGAAAGTCTTGCCTAAAACAAATGCAGTTTTTTAAAAAAGTTGGGAGGAGGAGAGATGTTCAATTACTTTTTTTCCTTCTTAGTCCCTAAATCTTCTATATCCCCATCCATGCCGTTTACTATACTCTAAAGATTTAGATAGCCCTTTGATATGAATAAATGCACTTTTATGTTATAATGTATTCCTGCATTGTACTTCAGTACCCCCACATGCAAAATAATATGCAAAATGCGGTTTTTCCAAAATAAGACGGGATGGAGGTGCTTCCTTTGGTGGGGATCATGGTGGATCAGCCCTTGGAAGTAGTTTTCTGTGGTCAAACCCTTGGCATCACTCATGGGGTAACTCTTCTCCTGAGCACATCTGGGGCACTGTTCATCCATGTTATAAATGACAGACAACCTTTGGAGCTGTCTGAGGTTATTTGTGAAACTCCAGAATCTTAGGTTTGATTGTTAATCCTTCATATTTGGGGGGAGGGATTTTTTTTTTATAAACATATTTTATTAAAGGGTTTTTGTTGTTGTTGTTGACTGTTAATCCTCTATCCCTTTAGTACTGCTGACCAACCTAGATGATGATTTCGTTTCATGGAAATAGCATAATTTTAGAGTCTGCCAAATACTTCTGACTTTGCCAAATGTATCTGACATTTACAGCTTTGTGTAGTGGGTTTATCTCCATATTGTAAAGTGTCATTTATTTATTTATGCATGGCTGTACCATGTGATACAGCCTAATGCCCCTGCATTTATGTGTATTTCATTCCTTGGAAAACAGTATTCTCAGATATTTTCAGACATAATAGGGAACTCAATTGCCTTTTAAGCGTACCACAATTATTATAATAATAATTTAACATTCACATAGCCCTTCATGGTTTACGAAGTACTTTCCCATGACATTGTCCTGTTAGACAGTTAACATTATGAGTGTTATTCCCATTTTAAGTATGAGGAAACTGAGACTCAGAAAAGTTCAGTGATTTGCCTATTGTCACAGAACTAGTAATCTTCAGAATCAGGACTTAAATTGAATTCTCCTGACTACAGGTTCAGTATACTTGCCACCATACTATACTATCTCTCCTGCCTGTACTACTTCTCCCCCCTACCCCAATGTAACAAAATAAAATGACGTTAGATATATGTCTTCCTTAAAGTATACCTTTCAACTTAGTCTCTGTGTTGCAAAGGACTCCTTCACATTGCAAAAGTAATTCTCAGGATAAAAATATACTTTGTGTGAAAATGCCCATGGAAACTTGATTATTTTAATATCACATAGGGTCTCCCAAAGACTTATCTTTAAAAAAAAAAGTATTGACTATAAAATAAATAAAGCATTAAGTTTGAGGAGGGACAGTGGAAGTTTAAATCACTTCCCTTTTTTGTTTTAATGTATATATAATTTATATTTGATCCTTACATTTTGAAAGCACAGCACATCTCTCCTGTGCCAGAGAGGAGTCCTTCTGACTCTCCCTGGGTCAATTGGAAAAGAACCTTTAGAGAAAAAAGCCTGGGGTATTAAAAAAAAAAAAGAGTTGCAGACTTGGACTCATTGTAGATATTGCGTACCTGCCATTTCAGTAAGAGACAGAAGTTTTGTTCCTTCTGCTCTCGTCCTCCTGAGAAAACTCCCAGGAGTCTGTTCCTACTGGGGGCTTCTTTCCCCATTATTCATTTTATGCTCTGAATGTAATATCCAGTCATTTTGATACCCCACTACTCAAGTACATTGACTTTAGGTTAAGGAAACAATAAAACAATGAACCATTCTCACCAGTGTTCATGTGTGTTTTTTCTTCTTGTTCTTTGTCTTGTCTTGATTTGGATTTTTAAGCCCAGTAATAGAATGCCATAAGAGTTCCTTAGGGGTCAAAGGAGTCTTTCAGAATTAGGAGTGGAAATATTGCAAATATTGCCCTTTCCTGTCTCTCCTCAGCTTGTCCCTTGCCTCTCTGTCTCTCCCCTGCATCCCAAAGCTTCCTCCCTTCTTGTAATAATTTTTGCAATGTTTATATTGGGGTGGAGGAAAGAGTGGATGCATCAGGTGAGCATCATAAACTCCTTAATTTAAAGCATCCACCTGACCCCAAAAGGCAGGTCAGGGAATGTTCGGGTCTCCTACCATAGTTCATTTGTTCAGTCTGCCAAAAAAAAAATGAAAAGCCTATTATGTTCCTGGGACTGCCATGTTCTAGGGGAGGTAAAAGACAAGCTTCCAGTTCCTTGCTTTGCTCTGATCCATATCCATCTTTGGGAGTGGAAACCAAATGAGGGATTGTTTCCTGAATTTCAGTAACTAAGGTAGCCCTAAGGATTTAAAACTGGAGGACGTCTTCAGTGAGGAAGCCATGTGGTTGAATCTGGAGGGCACTGAGTTTTGACAGGATCTGTGCTGCTTGTTTGGAATTTTCAAGTTGTGCTATGCTTTCTCACTGACTTTACTTTCTTTGCTTTGCAAAAACCCTATCATAGACAGTAATACTTGGGGGAAATCAGATCATTACACAGAGTCATAGAATCCTAATGCTAAAACTGCCCTTAAAGGACGTCCAGACCAACTTCCTGCTCTATTAAACATGACTTGCTTTTCAGTTCCCCCACTGGAAGGTTTTCCCTTTTTTAATGTTCTTTCCTGACATTTCTGGAAATGATCAGAACTGGAGAGAAACTGAAAAGTTTTTGTTACAGGTCTGTCTGTGATTTCAGTTATGGTACAGACATTTTCCTGTCACACACCTGTCACCAGGGTACCCAATTTTGGCGATTCCAATTGTCAATACTGACAAAAAGCGTTAACTTTCCTGTGGTCTAGGCTCAGACCCATCTTCCTATCTCCAGACATTAGTGGTAGGTGGTGGTGATGGAAAGTTCCACTCATGTGGCAGAGGACCTTTTGACATACAGGTGAGCTGGCTAGTTTAGAAACACTTTGCCAACCCAGGCACATCTGTGTTTGAATGTGCTATTACCTGTCCTTGACCTTAGGCAGGATCTTGGTGATGCTGTGCCTAGCAAACTATATAGTTGAGTAAGGTAGAGAGGAGCTGAATTGTACGGATGTATTGGAAGTAGAAATCCTGTGAATCACTTCATTTTACAATGGTAATGCCCATTTCTTAGGACAACTACAAACAGTCCAGACAAGCTGATACAACTTTAAGTGTTATTCTTCCTGGTAGAGGAAAATAGTTGTTTTTTTAAATCTTACACCTTCAAAGCCACATCATTCCAACTGTTGCTGCTTTTCTCTCATTCTAAACTTTAACATATCCCAATTTTTATTCGTTCTTTATTTTGTTGTTTTCCTCCCTGTTTTCCTTGATTTTTTTTTTATCCCTCTAAACCCTTTGGTTATATTTCTGCTGCTAAGTCTCCTGTAACAGATAGGAAAAAAAAATAGCACTTTGCTTTTTTTTTTTTTTTTATTTTTTTGTTGCTTTTTGATGAGGCAGTTGGGGTTAAGTGACTTGCCCAAGGTCACACAGCTAGTAAGTGTAAAGTGTCTGAGGCCAGACTTGAACGCAGGTCCTCCTGACTCCAAGGCCGGAGTTTTATCCACTGTGCCACCTAGCTGCCCCCTGCACTTGCTTTTAAGTTCTTTTCACCTAGGCATGATGTAAGATGGCATTCTGGAAATGGTTCTAGGGATAGAAACAGGGAGGCCAGGGTATTCATAGCTACAGTGGACAATATTGGTCAACGTTAGGGTTTCAATCTGCCCAATTTTATATGTATATGTGTATGTGTGGGGTGGGGGGAGAGAGAGAGAGAGACAGAGAGACAGAGAGAGAGAGAGAATGAGATCTTCCTTTGGTTCCAATTGTTTGATAAATTTTCTTGTTCCTTCTTAGTCTTCTTTATCAACTCATTATACATCTCCCAGCCCTCAAGTGTAGGTATCCCAAAGTTATATCCAAGACCCTATTTTTCTCTCTACTTTTTGTGTTTTCATCTGACAGTGGCTTCCATATCCAACCTTAATCACCCCCTTGAACCCTAGTCCCAAAGCTCTAACTGCCTGCCCTACACCTCTACCATAAGTCCCATGGACACCTCAAACTCATGACACCCAGCTGAGGGATTGCTGACACACAGTATGGACAGGATCCAAAAAGATCTCAAAGGGGTAAAGAATTGGACTGAATCTATAAGGTGAAATTCAGCAGGAACAAATGGGAAGTCTTAAGCTGGGCACAAAGAAACCACTTTAAATACTGAACAAAGAATCTTGAAAAAGATTCTTCTGAAAAACAAGAAGCTTGAAAAAGATCTGGAAGTTTCAGTGGACGGCAAGCTCAATAAATGAGTCAGTTGTGTCCTGTGGCAGCTTAAAAAAAGGCTAATGCTTATCTTGAGTTACATTAAGATGCAACATGGCTAGAATTCCAGTCAAGGTGTCAGCATGAAAAGATATAGTTCTCCCCCACATATATACCCTAGCAAAGATCTAAAACATCATGTCAAATAATGGTTAAGAAATTCAAAGAGAGGGGCAGCTCAGTGGCATAGTGGATAGAGCACTGGCCCTGGAGTCAGGAGGACCTCAGTTCAAATCTAACCTGAGACACATGACACTTACTAGCTGTGTGACTCTGGGCAAGTCACTTAACCCCATTGCCTAGCCAAAAAAAAAAAAGAAAGAAATCTAAAGAGAATCAGTGGTAAGATCCATCTTGCACAAAAGGACAGCTGGTAGGTCAGTCTCACCAGGGAAACAAATGAAAAGACACTTGAAAACTACAGTGAGGGTGGGAAGGAGAGTCAGAGTCAATAAATATTTATTATGAACCTACTATACGCCAGGCACTGTGCCTAAGCACCAGGGATACAAAAAAAAGCAGAAGACAGTCCCTGCCCTCAAGGAGCTCACTATCTAATGGGGGAGACAACACATAAAAAGCTGAAGGTGTAGGGAGTGGAATGAGGGGCACAGTTACCATCCTTAAGTAGTGGAGGATCTGGTTGGAGGAGCAGGAATCCGAGGGCTCGAGCAGGAAAGCTCCAAAGTGGTTGGAATTCAGCATCCCTCTGACTTGGAGGGGCAGGGTAGAGGTGGAGGAAGGGGAGCTCCAGCAGTCAGAGCAGAATGCCTGACGCACGGCTGGAAGTCCCCAGAACTCTGACTTGAGGATCTTGAAGACCACAGGATTCTGATCACGGATGATCAAGGGGGTCTTCAAAATTGCCAGCGCTCTAAGGCCAGATACACCAGGGTAGATGGGAGCCAATGAAAGGAAATTGAGGTCCAGACCAAACAGGGTTTGAACAGGTCATCCAAGAGTGGAGAAGAAGGCGGGAGCCTTGGTCCTGGTCTCAAACCAGGAAATGAGGCTGGAGATGTGAGTAAACACAAGATAATGCTGGATACCAAGGAGAAATATTAAGGGTCAGAAGATGCCCCAAAGGTAACAGTGGAAGAAAGGAGCAGCTCCACAGCAATTGGGGGTTGGGGGTGGGGGAAATAGAGGGGAAATTAAGTGAAATAATAGCTCTGGGAGGAAAATAAATAACTTAGGATAGAAATTGGAAAAAACATAAATAATGCATTCCCAGAGAATTAGGATGGACTAAAAGAAATCAAGGACTCCATGAGATAAGAAGTATTAGAACCAACTAAAAAGATTTGGGGGAAAAAAACAGAAGGGACTGTAACCACCAGAAACAACTGACCGGGAAACAGGTCAAAGAGAGATAATTAAAGAATCAGTAGATTCCCCAAAAACTATGACCAAACCCCGCCCCCAATCTAAAATTTAAGAATCAGAAATGAATATTGCCCAACCAATCACCAAAATAGAAACTCTGAAAATCAAAAGCTTAACAGATTTGGTAGCAAAAAAAAAAAATTGATAAATAAAATTAGGAACTATTTTTTAAAAAACAAATAGATGAAATGGTTACCTAATCTGATAAAACAGAGAAACAAAATCTAATTGCCTCTAACAAAAGACAAAAAGAAATGAACAAGGAAATGAAAAGGAAATAAGGGAAAATATTAGAAGTGATTCTGGCAAATTATGTGGCAACAAAATCGACAAATGAAACAGATATTTATAAAAATACTTGGATTAACAACAATAAATAGATAATTTAATCCAATTCAAAACAGAAATTGAGCAAGTTATAAATTCCCCAAGAAACTTAGGACCATGAGATAGATTTACAAATGAATTCTATCAAAAGGTCAAAACATGGGGCAGCTAGGTGGAGCAGTGGATAGAGCTCTGATCTTGGAGTCAGAAGTACCTGCATTCAAATTTGGCCTCAGACACTTGACGCTTACTAGCTGTGTGACCCTGGGCAAGTCACTTAACCCCAATTGCCTTACAAAAAAAAAAAAAAAAGGTCAAACTATAACCAATCCAATTTACATAAATTGTTTGCAAAAATATTAAAAGAGATCCTACAAATTCCTTCTGTGAAACAAAAATAGTCTTATAAATTAAGAAATAGTAGGTCTCCCTATGTCACCCGGGGTTAGAAATGCAATGGTTACTATTGTTCTTCCTTTGTTTTAGAAGAGGATCAATGACATAGTATGATGTGTTGACTCATATGTATATTGGATTTAAGGGAGGCAGAGCTGCACAAAGTCGTCCACCTCACTCTCTTTTCTTTTGTTTTTTTCCTCCTTTTGGGGGACCCCTTTCATCAGAGGTTCCCAAACTTATTTGGCCTACTTCCCCTTTTCAAAAAAAATTACTCACTACCCCCCATCTACTTTCTTTAATTCTTTAATGGTTTTTTGAAATTTGCATCATTTCAAAAAATGT